GATGCAAACTCATGCACTCGATGGTTTTCTGCTGATCACCTGCTCTGCCACATCGTGTGCTGGGGCCAGCTAGGAAGGACACAGACCTGGTCCCTGCTCTCAGGGACCCCAGTGTGTGTTAGGTGTAGGGGGCCGACCCCAGTAAAGCACCCAGCAAACACCTACTTTTATGAAATCCAGGCAGGTACACCCCCAGCCCCGCCAGGGGAGCCAAGCCAGCAGCAATGCGACGGGGGTTGGGGCCCGGCGTGCCCCCCCATGAATCATCTGACCCAATGCTGGAACTCAGGATCCTTCCCCATTAGACAGGAGGGGGTTGGTACGCAGACCACCTCCTCTCTTTTGGGGGTCCTAGACAGGTTTGCTCACTCAGGGCATGCGGCAGACAGGGTCCAGGTCCTGTTCCTGACCCCGCTCACTCACCGATACGCTCAATCCTTGTCACATCACGGATCTCCGGGACTTTGGTCGTGGCTGTCTGGGGGTGCAAGAAAATATGTCAGGAGACTCCTGTGGTCCCAGCTTTCACCAACTTCCCCTGTCCCTCCCAAGAGAAAGTGCTTTCCATTCCTTCCCTTCACAGGCAGACGATGGGCCAAACACCAGTCCCACCCCTCTCAGTGTCCCTGACTAATGGCGAGTTGGCTGAGTCCCAGGAAGACAAGAAGTGTCTGTTTCATTCACGGCTCTGTTTTCCATGGGGGTCCAGCATGTACTTGGTGCCCAGGGATTACTTGGTGAATGAATGAATGAAGTCCTCCCCATCCTCAGTAACTGTGAGCTGCGTAAGGACAGACGCCAACGTGGAGCAGGCAGTGAGTTAGATGTGGTCTGGCCCCTGCTAATTTCCCAGTGTCCCTTGTACTGTGCCACCCCAGCTCTCAGTCACCAGGCCTTGTATGTGCTGGCCCCTCTGTCCAGACTGCTCTCCCCACCCCTCGCTGCCCCCAAGAGAGGCCCTCCCCGACCACCGCCCCTGCCAGCACGTTCTAGGGCCTTTCTGGGAGCCCGACCTCCCTGTCTACTCTCACATCCATGAGGGACACTGTTGGATCAATGTTCTCAGCTCCAGGAGACATGAGACCCATGAAGGGCACAGCCTGTGTCTCTCTTGTTCACCAAGAGACTCGATGTCAGTGGTTTGAGTAATTGAAACAATGACGTGTTGAGCTCATTCAACATACTGAGGCTTCCTGTGTCTCCAGTTCTCCAAGAGAGAAGCCAGCCACCATTCTTCTCATATGTGGGAGGGAGAGTAAATATCACCTGGGACAGGACTCCCCGAGATCCACACAAAACACAAATGCAAATGTCAACGGCACCACTATTCAAAAGAGCCAAAAGATGGAAACGACCTAAATGTCCACCAGCTGATGGATGGATAACTACAATGTGGTCTGTTTGTACAATGGAATATTATTCAGCCACAGAAAGGAATGAAGTTCTAACACATGCGACAACATGGACCAACTTTGAAAACTTTATGCTACTGAAAAGAGGCTCCCACACAAAAGACCACATACTGTACAATTCCATTTATATGAAACATCCAGAATAGGCAAAACTTTTAACATATAGGTAGAAAGTAGATTAGTGGTTACCTAGGGCTGAGAGGTATGCGAGGACTGGAAGGTGACAGGTAAAAGGTATAATTGTTTCTTTTTGGGGTGAAGAAAATGTTCTAAAGTTGACTGTGGCGACGGTTGTGCAACTCTGTGAATATACTAAAATCTACTGAATTGTACACTTTATTTTTTTGAGTCTTGCTCTGTTGCCCGGGCTAGAGTGCCATGGCATCAGCCTAGCTCACAGCAACCTCAAACTCCTAGACTCAAGCAATCCTTCTGCCTCAGCCTCCCGAGTAGTTGAGACTATGGGCATGCACCGCCATGCCCAGCTAATTTTTTCTATATATATTAGTTGGCCAATTAATTTCTTTCTATTTATAGTAGAGACAGGATCTCGCTCTTGCTCAGGCTGGTTTCGAACTCCTGACCTCAAGCAATCCACCCGTCTCGGCCTCCCAGAGTGCTAGGATTACAGGCGTGAGCCACCGCGTCCTGCCCTGACTAATTTCTTTCTATTTTTAGTAGAGACAGGATCTTGCTTTTGCTCAGGCTGGTCTTGAACTCCTCACCTCGAACAATCCTACCGCCTTGGCCTCCCAGGGTGCCAGGGTACAGGCATGAGCCACCGTGCCTGGCCTGAATTCTACACTTTAAATGGGTGAATTGTATGGTATGTGAATTATATCTCAATAAGATTGTTAAAAAAAATTCAGGTGGTGAATCATTGGGTGCCTGTTATATTATTTTGTAACACTTCAGAATATTCTATAATTTATAATAAGGAAAGAAAAGCCTAAGAAGCTGACATGCTGACCAGCCCTTCAACCACCTGCCCCCTCAACTCTCCTTTCTTCCCTTCTTCCCCCAGAATGAGAGGACATGCAGGCATCCAACCCAGGAGCTTCCTTTCTCTGAAACCAAAAGTTTAGACTTCCTGGCCCCCACATGGTCACAAGCCTTCTCCCTTGCCATGTGACTCTTCCCACTTACTCTCTCCTCACATGAGGTTGGAACCCCAGAGCATGGGACCTTACCCCCAGACTACTATCAAAAGCTGGGAATGTGTTTGGCACAGTGGCTCACTCCTCTGTAATCCTAGCACGTTGGGAAGTGGAGGTGAGAGGATCGCTTGAGGCCAGCAGTTCGAGACCACCCTAGGCAACATAGCAAGACCCCATCTCCACAAAAAAATGTTAAAAATTAGCCAAGCATGATGGTACATGCCTGTAGTCCCCACTACTTGGGAGGCTGAAGCAGGAGGCTCACTTAAGCCCAAGAATTTGAGGTTACAGTGATCTATGATTGTGCCACTGCACTCCAGCCTGGGTGAAAGAGACCTTGTCTCTAAATAAATAAAAGCTGGGAACGTCTCCCCTGGACTCACACGCAGCCCATCAGACCCCAAACAAAGCATCTTCCCTTTCACCACAAACCTCTCCTATACCCTGCTACCCACTGATCCCATGGAAACGGAGGTCATCTTACTTTATTTATTTATTTATTTTGAGACAGAGTCTCACTTTGTTGCCCAGGCTAGAGTGAGTGCCGTGGCATCAGCCTAGCTCACAGCAACCTCAAACTCCTGGGCTCAAGCAATCCTGCTGTCTCAGCCTCCTGAGTAGTTGGGACTACAGGCATGTGCCACCATGCCAGGCTAATTTTTTCTATATAGATTAGTTGGCCGATTAATTTCTTTCTACAGTAGAGATGGGGTCTCACTCTTGCTCAGGCTGGTTTCGAACTCCACCTCGAGCAACCCGCCCCTCAGCCCCTTGGCCTCCCAGAGTGCTAGGATTACAGGTGTGAGCCACCACGCTCAGCCCCGAGGTCATTTTAAAACTCAGCATCCACCATCTCCTCATACTTCCAATACTTCCTCCACATCATGGGAACTGGGTCTCAGGAGTTCTGGCCATTGCCCTTTCATCTTCCACTTTCCTATCCACCTCTTTTTTCTTGCCATGATTACAGCCACAGACTCAAATCTCACCCTCCAACCACTAGCAACTCTCTGCCCTGCCCTTCCTCTATCTTAACTGGGGTCACCATGGTAACTAAAACATCTGTAATCCCAGCCCAATCCTCAAGTTCAGGTCACACTACTTCTTCATTCAGATATTTCTTGAGCAGGTACCAGGCCCAGTGCACCTGGTCTCTCCTTCATTCCCATTCATTCATTCAAACATTAAAGTGCTAATATATTAAGCATTCATACTGAGGCATGATCCATATGAGGTGTTGGGAATATGAAAATGGCCATAACAGTCCCATGACAAGATCCTGACCTCTGGGCCCCCACGCTTTCCCCCTCCCCACTGACACCCTCTTGGTTTTCAACACTGTCTCTTTCCACTGAAGACTCACCAAGCGACTTCACGCTCTCAAGCAAACAGGACAGGTCCTCGCCTGTGCTTCTCCCTTGGTACTTAGGTGCCAGTCGCACGACCAACAATCCAAGGCTCCCAAATGGCTTGGAGCCCAAGATACCACAACCCTCATCATACAGTGCGGCGAAGGGCAGCAGAACTGGCCGTTGCGCCCAGAGGATTCTGGGAGTTGGAGTTCCTTTACCAAGATGCGGTCAGAGCTGAGATTCCAGGGTCCCAGCCCCTTCTTTCACTCCCTCAAACCCAGGAGCCCTGGCACCCACCTCCACCATCCCCTCGGATCCACAAGTCCAGCCCCTAGCCATCTCCTCCCCCAGACCCAGGAGTCCCAGCGCCCAGCTCCTCCTCCCTCAGACCCAGGGGTCCGGACCCCCGGATCCTTCCTCCCTCAGACTCAGGAGCACGGGTTCGCTCCTTAGTCCTCCACGCTCCAACACTTACCACGGTTGCCATGATGCTCACCAACCGCCAAATGTCCCAGCGGAAACGGAACTGCGCTGGGAATGAAGCGTCCTAGGCCCCTCTAGGCCAGCAGGTCCTCCAAAGATCTCGATGGTTTCTCATAAATATGTAAAGACCCTTGGGGGGCGTGGCGTTACTTTTTAGGCCCTGCCCATCCGGTGGGGCTGAGCTGTAAGACGGGTGTTCGGGGTCTGTTCCCACCGCCTCCTGGCTCCTCCTCCTTTTACCCAGCCCCTCCTTGTTGAGGCCGATTGCAAAATTCTTAACCCTCCTTTGAGCTACCACACGTCCTCCACGCTCCTTTCCTCTGTATCACACCCTCCTCCTCCTGACTCTGGGGCCTCCAGCTTCAGATTGACAGAGCTAAGAGCCAATCCCTTCTGTTCAGCGCAGCCACAAGCCCCGCCCCCTGGAGTTTCGCCGACTGACTAGAAGGTGGCAGGACTCAGAGACCCCGACTCTCTCCACCAATGAAGAGACGCTGAGGCCCCTGCCCCCGGGTGCAGACCAATGGCGCTGGCTGGGGGGCGGGCACCGCCTCCTGGCGGCCACAAGGTTTTACTGCAGGGACGCCGCTGGGCTCAGTGACGCTGCGGCCGCCTCCTGCCTAGGTCCGAACTCGCTCCCGGGCGGGGGTGCGGTCGTGCAATAGGAAGCTGAGCGCGTTGCAAGCTTCCCGTCGGGCACCAGCAACCCAGCCCCGCTCCTTGCCTGGTGCATTCCCCGGACGCCTCCGGAGTCCCCACCTGAGGCCCCTGAAGCCCCTTTCTCTCGCCAGCCATGCCTCTAAGCCGTACTTTGTCCATGTCCTCCCTGCCAGGACTGGAGGATTGGGAGGATGAGTTCGACCTGGAGAACACTGTGCTCTTCGAGGTGGCCTGGGAGGTGGCCAACAAGGGTGAGTACGTCAGGCATCCGGGGCCCTTGACGAGAAGGGCAGTCGGGGATAGAGGCCTGGAACTTAGAGTTGTAGGAGGACGGGGCTACATGGGGAACCCTTGGGTCCTGGGCAAGGAGCCTATGACTCCTATGTCCTTGTAGAGGGGCTAGGGTATGTCTCCTAGGCCCTGGTGTACGGAGAGGGATGATTCGCTTAACTTAAGATGAAAGGAGGCTGGAAGCCCTGGTCCTGGGTCTTAAGGGAAAGGGCGCTAATTCCTAGGTCCTGGAGGATGGAGGGAGGCTTCTGAGAGATCAGATACCCGGGTCCTGAACAGGGAAGGGGCTGGGGGGGGAGGGAGATGGGACTTATGTGTGCAAACCTGGGGAAGCTGCTGGGGTTTCAGACCCATGGTACTGGGAGAAGCGGTCTAGGGGATATAAATGCAGATTTGGGAGAGTGGAGGGAGAATCTGGAGACCTGGTTGCCTGGCAGTAAAGATGGGAGGGGGCTGGAGACCCTAATTCTTAGGTCCTAGAGTGGAGAGAGTTGGGGCCCGAATGTGTAGGCTTTGAAGGAGCTGAAGGCCTTGCTCTCGGTTCCTAGGAGTAGAGGCTCCTGTGGCCTGGGACACATGCGTACTGGGATGGGGGAAGCCTGGGAAGTCCTAAGTTGGTCAGGGGCTGGGCCCTGGGATGGGAGTGGCTGGGAGCCTGCATTTCTGTGTCCTGGGCTTCAAAGAGCCCCAGGTTCTGGCTTTGGAGAAGGCTGGGGCTGGGAGTCAGGAGCTAGGTTGTCCCACTCCTCTGAAGAGCTAGGGCTGGGGGGTTGCTTTGCTGGGTCTTATGGGAGAAAGGGACTGGGTCCCACAGCCTGAGGGGGGCCCTTGAACATGGAGCCATGTACTGCCAGGGCCCAGGCTCCAGGAGGCTCGGAGGCTGGGGGCCCAGAGTCCTGGGATTGGAGCGGGATCCTGGTAGAGGCAGGGCCCCATACTCCTGTGTCCCTAGTCGGGGAGAGAACACTGGGAGACAGGTCACAGGGTCCCTGGAGGGAATGACGGTTCAGGCTCCTCTTGGGCAACTGTGAGAAGCTGATAGGCCATGAAGAGGGATCTCCCCCACCGTGTCCTGGAGCCTGACTGAGATTTAAACCCAGCTCCTGGAAGCTGGGAGCCCAGCTCTGCCATCCTTGGGGCCTCAGCCCCAGGAGTCCAGCCCCCAGCCCCTCCTCTCACACCCAGGAGTCTGGCCTGAGCTCTCCCTCCCTCAGGGTCCTGACCCCAGCCCCCCCTTAGATCCAGGAGGCCAGCCCCCAAGCTGCCAACCCCCTACTCCAAAGAATGGGCTCCCGACCCCCTCTTCCCCCTGAGCCAAGGGTCTGGGGCCCCAGTGCCCCCGACAGCTCCCACCCCCTCCCAGGTCCCAGACCTGCCCTCACACGTTTGGACCCACAGTGGGCGGCATCTACACGGTGCTGCAGACGAAGGCCAAGGTGACAGGAGATGAGTGGGGCGACAACTACTACCTGGTGGGACCGTACACGGAGCAGGGCGTGAGGACCCAGGTGGAACTGCTTGAGGCCCCCACCCCGGCCCTGAAGAGGACGCTGGACTCCATGAACAGCAAGGGCTGCAAGGTGGGACATGGCCCAGCGGAGGGCAGGGAGGCAGACGGCCCACCATGAGGGTGGGGGCAGCAGATGGAGAAGGGGCAGGGGGTGTGTGGCCCTAGAGAGAGAGGGAGGCATGGACAGACATGGGATGGCACTTTCCTGGGCAGACATTGAGGAGGGAGAGTGACAGGACACTCAGACAGATGCAGGGCCCATGAAGTGGGCAGGTAGATCCTAGACATTGGTGAATGGAGAGACAGATGACAGGTACAAAACAGACCAAGAGATAAATCCAAAAGGCCAAGATTCTCAGACCCAGAGAGAGAAAAAGAGCTAGATGGAAAGCCAGCCAGCCAGCCAGGCAGAGCCCAGGGGAGGGGGCGTGGGGTCGGGCATGCGCACTGGAGCAGGATTCTGCAGCCCAAATTCTGCCTTTCCACTTGCTGCCCATATGACCTTGACTAATAAACATTCTAATAGCATCTACCTTATAGGGCTGCTGGGAGGATGAAATACTTAATAAGAATAACATGTTTAGCACAGTTCTTGGCATGAAGTGAGCACTGTGGGAGCTATTATCGTCAGTGTTATTATTACGACCATCATCACCATCACTATAAACAGCCAAGCCTGGAGAGTGAGGGAGACAGGCAGACACAGGGACAGGGATGGATGGAGCCAGGGGCTAGGGCAATAGGGAGACAGACAGGCTCTCGGTACAGAGGGGCCACCAGATGTCTCAGAGAGAAAGCCCTAGGAGAGAGAAAGACGGACTATCGATGAAGAGAGGAGAGGTAGGGACACAGCCCCAGGGGACAGAGTCTGAGATGGGCAGATCCAGGTATTAAAGAGAGGAGGGGGCTCCCAGGGCCCCAGGGTGAAGACTGAAAAAGAGGTGCTACCTCCTAGGGGACAGACAGGCCCGGGTCCAATAGAGGTTCCTTCACTCATTCATAGCCTCTGGTTTGGGGTGGGGTCTGGAATCAGTCAGGCCCCGAGTGTGTCCCTAAGGGACCCCAGGGCAGCTGCTCCCCACGAGCTGGGGGCCTAAGAATAGTGCCCCCACCAGCAAAAGGGCAGACAACAGCTGGGTGGGGGAGGGGCACCGGAGTCAGGCTCAGGGCCAGGGAAAAGCCAGGCTGGAGAGGAGTGTGACTGCTTGTCCACTGCAAAGAGCCATGGCAGCAGGCCCAGAACCAAGGCCATGATCTTGGGAGGAAAACAGCAAAGTGGAGACATGTGGCAGGTGTAGAAATGAGACAGCAAGTCTTAGAAATTTGGCAGCAGAGGTAAAACAAGGCAAGCAGTGGGGGCACAGAGAAGGTGTGGTCAGGCTTGCAGAAACTAAGTAGGGGCCGGGGAAAATTTTGCAGCAGATGGAAAAAGACTGTGGTGGGACTAACTCACAGCAAGGACAGAAATAAGGCAGCGGGTGAGAAATCAGCAGCAGATACAGAAAGAGATGGTGAGAGAACCAAGCCCAGACATCTGCCTGTGGATGGGAGAACCAACAAGGCGCTGGCAGACCTGAGGCTGAAGCCCTGAGCCTCCCTGTGGGCCCCCTCCAGGTGTATTTTGGGCGATGGCTGATCGAGGGGGGCCCCCTGGTGGTGCTCCTGGATGTGGGTGCCTCAGCCTGGGCCCTGGAGCGCTGGAAGGGAGAGCTCTGGGATACCTGCAACATCGGGGTGCCCTGGTACGACCGTGAGGCCAACGATGCTGTCCTCTTCGGCTTCCTCACCACCTGGTTCCTGGGTGAGGTATGTCCCACTGCTGGTCCCTGACTCTTTCCACTCAAGCCTGAAACTCCAATGACCGTCAGCCCCCGGCCACAGGATGGGCTTCTCCAAGGGCATTCTGGGAGTTGTAGGTTATTTAATCCAAGGATTACCCTGACCTTTGGGGACAAGGACATCCAGGGACCCAGCCTCATCTTTCCTCAGAGACCTCAACTCTCAACCCCAGCTTCATTTAATCCAATCTTCCAGCTGTAGGAATTCTGAGCCTTTGGCTCTAAGGGAGGTGGGCCTGCAGGAAGGCTCACCCCAGGCATTCTGGGACTTGTAGTTTTCTAGTCTGAGATTGGCTATACTTACGCTCTCAGATGGGGCCCCAGATGGATGCTTGCAGATCCCCACCCTGAGAACCAGGAATGCTGGTTCTGACCCCTTCTAGGTTTTAAAAGGCTCAAGAAACTTAATTTCCCATACCCTGGGATGAACAATTTAGGAACTAGCTACTCCTAGGGCATTCTGGGAGTTGTAGTCCTTTTGCTACTGTTGGGTGCAGAAGACCTCCCGTTGACAGAGATACTGAGATGAGGGGTCTCCAGGAATTGTGTCCAGGACTTGAGGACACTAAAACTTTAGTCTTTCCAATCCTACCAGGCTCTGGAGATGTAGTCAGCTGGCTTGGCTGCCTCAGTTAGTTTCCTGTCCTGTGGGGATGGCTTCAGGGGACCACCACCTGCTCTGCAGTAGCGGTGATAGATTTACCTCTCCCCTGAGTCCTCGTCCACGTTGGGAATTGCTGATTCTTTTCATGACACGTGAAGACAGTGGCCCTGTTCCTGTTGTCCCACAGTTCCTGGCCCAGAGCGAGGAGAAGCCACATGTGGTTGCACACTTCCACGAGTGGTTGGCGGGTGTTGGGCTCTGCCTGTGCCGTGCCCGGCGGCTGCCCGTGGCAACCATCTTCACCACCCATGCCACCCTGCTGGGGCGTTACCTGTGTGCTGGTGCCGTGGACTTCTACAACAACCTGGAGAATGTGAGCTGGGAGTGTGGCACATGGGGGACTGTGGGTATGTCAGGACAGCCCAAAGCTCTGGGAAAGCCAAGGGGATCAAGCATCCCCTTCTTCCAGGACCTGGGACTCCAAGGCCCCAGCCCCTCTCCTCCCTTAGACCCAGGAGTTTTGCTGCCAGGCCCCGCCTTCCTCAGGACCCTGGAATCTGGACCCCCAGTCTTCTCCCCAGTCCTTCTAACCTGACTGCCCCCACTTCCCACCCAGTTCAACGTGGACAAGGAAGCAGGTGAGAGGCAAATCTATCACCGCTACTGCATGGAGCGCGCGGCAGCCCACTGTGCTCACGTCTTCACTACTGTGTCCCAGATCACCGCCATCGAGGCACAGCACTTACTCAAGAGGAAACCAGGTAGGGGCTGGGCTGAGGTCCCGAGACATGAGTGAGGTAGGCGACTGTCTATGCCAAAGCCGGTGCAGCTGGGCGCGGTGGCTCACGCCTGTAATCCTAGCTCTCTGGGAGGCCGAGGCAGGCGGATCGTTTGAGTTCAGGAGTTCGAAACCAAAGCCAGTGCAGATGCTTCTCCACTTATGATGCAGTTATGTCCAGAGAAACCCATCATAAGTTCAAATGTTGTGAACTGAAAATGCATTTAATACACCTAACCTATTGAACATCATAGCAGTCTAGCCTGTCTTAAACATGTCCAGAACACTTACATTAGCCTACATTTAGGCAAAACCATGTAATACAAAGGCCATTTTATAATAAAGTATTGAATATCTCATGTAGCCTGGGAAAAGATCAAAATTCAAAATTCGAAGCTTGGTTTCTCTGAATGCAGATAGCTTTCGCACCGTCGTAAGGTCAAAAAATCATAAGTTGAACCATCGTAAGTTGGGGGCTGTCAGTACAAATTTTTTACAAAGAATAGAGAACTACACTTCCCCAAAGGCTGGAGGGTAGTGACCTGCATATGAGACTGCCTGGCTCTATAAACCCTGGAGGCTTATGGGAGGTGTAGTTTTTTTGATATTAAATTCAGAAGTGGTAAAATTCTGTGATTGGCTAATGTAAATATTGGTCTGCTGAAAGGGAACAGAGGATCAGTGGACTTTATTTTTGAGAAACGTATGGACAGAACCAGTCATTTTTCCTAGCCCTTAGCACCCCTTCCCAAGGGGTGTAAAGTGAGAACTACAACTCCCAGAAGGCCATTCATTGGCCACCTCCATGTATTCCTGGAACTTAGCCCTAGGAGCTGATGGGGGTTGTAGTTTTTCATTGGTATGCTTTCATTTCTATGAGGAAAGGAAATGGTTGGGTACCTGAAAGAGGCCTATCTCAGGGTGGGATAAGGGGAAACAAAAGAAATACAACTCCCAGAATCCCTGACGTGGCTCAGGTCCCTATCTGGTTAGCCATTTGCCAGAGCTGAGGAGACTTGTAGTTGAGCTTGTGAACATTAGCAAGCAATACTGAGCAAGAAGACATCTGGAAGGCAGGGTAAGTGGGTCACCAGGGAGCTCACAGGAGAGCTATTGAAACAAAAAAAAAGTTGCAAAAGGAAAGGAGTCTTTCCTTCATTTATTTATGCAACCACAGTGATCTGAATGAACAAATGAAGAAATGAAACCTGGACCTTCTCCTCCAATTGCAGATATTGTGACCCCCAATGGACTGAATATTAAGAAGTTCTCTGCCATGCATGAGTTCCAGAACCTCCATGCTCAGAGCAAGGCTCGAATCCAGGAGTTTGTGCGGGGCCATTTTTATGGGTATGTGGGGCATATACCTAGTTCTTAAGAGAGGAGAAGGTGGGAACCTGAACATCTGGGTCTGAGGGAGGAGGCGCCTGGAGGCCCAGCCTCCTGGGTCTGAGGGAGGGGGCAGCTGGGAGCTCAGCCTCCTTGAGCACCAGGACAATGGGCTGAGTATTAACTGCGATCCCCACCTAAAGACAAAAGAACCACAACTGCTGGGAGGCCCCATGATGCCTCTGTGTTGTCTGAGATATTCTTTGCCCCTGTAGCTTCGGGGATTGATGGTTCTGAGGCCAGGGCCAGAGGTGAGGGTCTTGGGCTTTGCCCTGCCTTGTGGCTTCTTTAGGCACCTGGACTTCAACTTGGATAAGACCTTGTACTTCTTTATCGCTGGCCGCTATGAATTCTCCAACAAGGGGGCCGATGTCTTCCTGGAGGCGTTGGCCCGGCTCAACTATCTGCTCAGAGTGAGACCTGGGCCGTGAGGGGACAAAGGGAGGACAAGAAAATCAGTATATAGCTGGGGAGGACAGAGACCCAGGGAGGTGGGATGGGGAAATCCTCTGTGTGTGTGTGTGGCAGGTAGACCAGAAAGGTCAGAGTCCCAGTGGGGACAGTAACTCTGGGTTATAATTGTCCTTGACAGGAAGGGGCATGACAAGTCCTAGTAGTCTTGGGAGTTGGGAAGAGGTGGGTGGCCCTATTTTTCCCCCATGTGATCCTGACGTCCCCCCTTCTTTGCTTCCACCTCAGGTGAACGGCAGCGAGCAGACAGTGGTGGCCTTCTTCATCATGCCGGCTCGGACCAACAATTTCAACGTGGAGACCCTCAAGGGCCAAGCCGTGCGCAAGCAGCTTTGGTCAGCAGCCCTGGGCTCGGGTCACTGCCCGTCCCAGCCCCAGTGTGTGCTTTGGGTCCAGTGTTTCTCCGGGAGTCTCAGATTTGTCATCTGTAACACAATCAACCTGCCCCACTGATTCTTAGCAAGTTCACTTGCTCAGGATCCTTCCGGCTTGGGGGCAGTAAGAAGTCACTGGCAGGACAAGTGTGACCAGGGCTCTGATATCAAACCAGCAAGGTTCCACTCATACCTCTGACCCTCACTGGCTTGGTAACTTTAGGCAAACCCCTGTCTGACCCTCCACTTCTTTATCTGTAAAACCCATTCATTCCTTACCCATCAGACGTTCAGTGAGCATCCATGATGTGCCAGGCACCGTACCAGGCCCTGGGAACATGACTATGAGCAAGAAAGAAAAATCTCTTTCCTCATGGAGCTTGCATTCTAGAAAATCCTATAGGCGGTGTTCGGGCAAAAAAAAAATAAAATAAAGTAGGCCAGCAATATGAGACAAGGTTGTCAGGACAGGCCACACTGAGAAAGTACCATTGGGCAGAGACCGATAAAGAAGATGAAGGATCAAGCCCTGTGTGTATCTGGGGAACAGCAAGTGCAAAGGCCGTGGGGCATGTTCGAGACATGGCAAGGAGGAGCATTTCCAAAGGAGATAGGGTAGAAAACGAGGCAGGAGCTAAGGCAGAATTGTAAGCAGAGAAGTGATAGTGGGGCTATAGCATGGCACTCTGCTAGCTTTGCTTGTGTGCCTAGATGTTCCTTTCTCAGAATCTTACTTTCCTTTCTTATAAAATGGGGCTTACCACTGCCACCTCCAGCACTGGTACAAGTCCTAATAATAGCTGACATTTCTGGAAGGCTTGTTATGTGCTGGGCACTGTGCACTTTTAGTCGTGACCTCATTGAGTCCTCACTGTAAACCTCTGAGGTTGATTCTATTTTTATACATGTCTGACAGATGAGTCTCTGAAGTCAGAGAGGGAAGGCCACCCATCCCTGGTCACACAGCTGATGCCAGGCACAAGGGACTCAAGCCTTCCAGGGCCTGTTCCCGGGGTCCCCATCCTCCAACCTGGAGGCCCCAGGGCAGGGCTTACCTGCTTGGGCCTCAGTTTCCTTCCCGCCCTCAAAGCCTAACAATAAATGGCGGCTGGTGTGTATGTGATATTGTTGCTCTGCTCGTTCCAGGGACACAGCCAACACAGTGAAGGAAAAGTTCGGGAGGAAGCTTTATGAATCCCTACTGGTGTGAGTGACCTGCTCTCAGCCCCGTAGCCTCCTGGGTCCTAATCTCTGTCCTTACCCCATTCCCAATCGCATGTCCCCGCTCGTCTTACAGAGGCAGCCTCCCAGATATGAATAAGATGCTGGACAAGGAAGACTTCACTATGATGAAGAGAGCCATTTTTGCCACACAGGTATGGTCTGGATCCCTGTGCGGAGAAGTGACAGTTCGCAGTAGCCCCAACGGCAGCTCACCCTGCTAGCTCCAATCCCAGAGATTGCTGGAAGTTCTGCTTTCTTGGGCTGCCCTTTACAGAGGGATCGATTCTCAGGTCCACCGAAGGCTGTGAGCTGACTGGCAGAATTTCAGTTCCCAGAAGCACTTAGGGCAGGCTGTATTTTGTGGCTTATGATACCACAGGGGCTGCTGAGAGTTGTGGTTTCTTTGAGACTCTGGAATCAATGAACGAAGGGTAAAAGGGAAATTTAGAAAGTCAAGACAGCCACAAAAGGAGAATTATAACTCTCAGCTTTCCTTGAGCCTTGCTGCATCTGGGCCCCACCTCTGCCCCAGAGACTGCCGGGAATGATGGTTTTGCTGAGCCACTTTAGGGATGGAGTCAGGAGGTCAGCTAAGGTGCCTAGCATTCCCCAGAGAACATTGCAAACTCTTAGCAGCCGCTGTTTCTTATCGCACTGGCTGTGTCTTAAGTGCACGAACACCCCCCAGGAATTCTCGGTTATTTAGGAGGTTGAGGGAATTCAGTGGATGGGAAACCTTAGAAAAAAAATTGGCTGTTCCAAAATGAGAACTACAACTCCCAGCAGCTACTGGGCTTTGTGCTCCATTGACTCTTCACTTGTCCAGAAGGCTTCTGGGAGTTAGAGTTCTTTCATTGCCTGGGTCAAGTAACTTTGGTACCTGGGGTCAGGGTCGGTGAGCCATTTCCTGGGGAGGGGAAACCTAGACATCTAAGTTGTACAAACAAGGCATGAACTGCTTTTAGCCAAACTATGATTTCCAATAGTCCTTAAGGCAGCCCACCTCATTGTGCATGTTCCTGTCAGATGGCTGCTGGGAGTTGTAGTTTCCTGGGTCCCTGTAATCAGATTGAAAGTGAGTAGAACCTTTAATGAGCAATGAAGGAGCAGTTGCAAAGGACTATACATCCCAGCAGCCTCCAGGGTTTCCTATCACACTAGCTCTTCTAAGAATCTTGCTTGCTCCAGTGGCTCTTGGGAATTGTGGTTTCTTTGGGCCTCTACTAGGGGTGTAGGTGAATTTTCACAAGAAAACTATGACTACAACTCCCAGCAGCCCCTGAAGCTTGCTGTCATGTTGGCATAGTCTCCGCCCCCATTGACTGGGTACAGTTAGAGTTCCTTTGGATTTCTTTAATGACAGAGCCAAGACTACAGAACAAGATAGCTACAACTCCCCATGGTTCCTGGGGCAGGTCCACATGGGTTCTTCCTCTAAGACTGCTGGGAATTGTAGTTCTTTTAGGCTCATGGGGGTTAAGGGAAAGAAAACCTTTTTAAATAGAGGCAAGTGGGAATCCTCAACTCCTGGTAATCTCTTGGGTTTGTTGGTTGCCCCAAAGGCTTGTTGGAATTGTAGTCTCCTTGGATCGCCTGGGGCCAGCATGGCTCACAGGCAAGCAGGGAGCCCACTGTCCCTTCCCTGACCCCCTCACCACCACTCCACTTGTGGCCTCTACAGCGGCAGTCGTTCCCTCCTGTGTGCACCCACAACATGCTGGACGACTCCTCCGACCCCATCCTGACCACCATCCGCCGAATCGGTCTCTTCAATAGCAGTGCCGACCGGGTGAAGGTAAGGACACCGGCCCGGGGTGAGGTGGGCATGGCAGACGGAGGGGGCTGGACCCTGGGCCTCACACTCCCCATTCTCCCCTAGTTTCTATCAGACGCATTGCTGTGTTTAGAAAGAACCCTGGTTTCTGCGGTAAACAGACTTGGGTTTAATTCTTTGTCCTGCTGCCTCCTTGCTGTGTGACGTTAGACAAGTTTTTCACCCTCTCTGGGCTGTTCTGGGATCTCAGGGGTTAGCTAAATAAGGGGCTCAGGCTGAGCCCTTCTTTTTCACTGCCAGGTGATTTTCCACCCGGAGTTCCTCTCCTCCACAAGCCCCCTGCTCCCTGTGGACTATGAGGAGTTTGTCCGTGGCTGCCACCTTGGGGTCTTCCCCTCCTACTATGAGCCTTGGGGCTACACACCGGGTGAGTGTAGCAGGTAGGGGACAGCATGGTCATGGGATCCTAGTCAGATCTAGCATGATCCTGGGGCAAGGCACTGGCCTTCTTCAAGCCCCAGTTTCCTTCTTTGCAAAACAAGGACCGTGGTAATGGTCTATTCCACTACAGCACACATTTTTGTGGACTGAAGTTTGTGTAATGCGAAACTACAGGACTAATGTCAGTGTGAAGTGGATGTCACAGTTTACACTGATTTCCCCCAGTTCGCTGATCTTTGGCCCCCCAAATAAAGCAACAGAATGCACAATTCACCTACACAACTAAGTGTGGCAAAGTTCCCTCCCTCCCAAGCTGGCCCTGTTGCCCAGCAACTCTGCCTTCCTTGCGCTGGTTCTTTTTTTTTTTTTTTTTTTTTTGAGTCAGAGTCTCACTCTGTGGCCCAGGCTTGAGTGCCACGGCATCAGCCTAGCTAGCTCACAGCAACCTCAAACTCCTAGGATCAAGCAATGCTACTGCCTCAGCCTCCTGAGTAGCTGGGACTACAGGCATGTGCCACCATGCCCAGCTAATTTTTTCTGTATGTTTTTAGTTAGCCAATTAATTTTTCTATTTTTAGTAGAGATGAGGTCTCGCTCTTGCTCAGGCTGGTTTTGAACTCCTGACCTTGAGCGATCCTCCTGCCTTGGCCTCCCAGAGTGCTAGGATTACAGGTGTGAGCCACTGCACCGGGCCTTGTGCTGGCTCTTTGGCCAGTGTTTTTAAAGCCAAATAAATGCCATATTTCCTAATGCATTAGTAATTTAACACATCTTTTAAACTGTGCTCACATGATAATTAGGAGTTTAGCCAGTTATGCTCTGCTGTGGTTACAGTGGTGCATAGGTTTTGTGTGGTCAGCCCCAGCTCTCTTTTCTTGTAGGCCTTGTTATATTTAGTGCCTACTTTTGCAGCTTACAGAGGTTTTTTTGGGAACACTTATAAGAGGCAGGTGCACACCTGTAATCCCAGTTACTCAGGAGGCTGAGGGTGGTGGATCATTTGAGCCCAGGAGTTTGAGACCAGCCTGGGCAACATAAAGAGGTCTCATCTCAAAACAAAACAAAATAAACAGCTATAAATGTCTTCAACCATTTCTCAAGGTTGTTTAAGGTATTAAACAAGTCATAGTAGGTATTCTGTACACAGGAACACTAAAAATGAGAGGCCTTTTCTTACCACCCATCGAAACAGACTATGACACTGTGATAACCAAAACAGTACGGTTTTGGCATGAAAGTATCTTACAGGTTATGATGGACCTTGTCCAATCTACAGATTGTGAGGATTAAGTAAAATGATGGACGCTGGGATGCTCAATAAATTAGTATCCTTATCCCCCAACTGTAGACATTTCTGCATCCTGAGTCCTTGGGGCAAGGGTGAATTCCCTTCTCTTTTCTGAACCTCTTAGCTTCCCCTCTGAGAAATACAGAAAATAATGGTCCAATGAACAGCACGGCTGTGCCGGCTCAGTGACTTGCTGAGCGCAGCGCCCGTAGAGGGCGCTATTGGGGCTTTCATTGCGATTAGGAAGGCAGGAGAGATGGGGAACTAAGTGGATCTTTCTCGTGCCTTCCCGCAGCTGAGTGCACAGTTATGGGCATCCCCAGTATCTCCACCAACCTCTCCGGCTTCGGTTGCTTCATGGAGGAGCACATCGCAGACCCCTCCGCTTACGGTCAGCGCCCGGGCCCCTGAGGGCGTCCTGGGGAGGAGGGGCGTGGACTTCTGGGTGCCAAGGAGCGCAGACAGGAGAGTAGAGGGTGGGCTCTTGGACTCCTGGGGGAGGAGGAAGGTCTCCGCAGACCGTTTTCTGAACCCCGGTCCTGGCTTCTGCAGGCATCTACATTCTGGACCGGCGGTTCCGCAGCCTGGATGATTCCTGCTCGCAGCTCACCTCCTTCCTCTACAGCTTCTGCCAGCAGAGCCGGCGGCAGCGCATCATCCAACGGAATCGCACCGAGCGCCTCTCCGACCTTCTGGACTGGAAATACCTAGGCCGGGTATGACCTCCCCCCAACCCCCTCCCCCACTCCCCTCCCCCTTCCCCCTCCCCCTTTCTCCCTTCCTCCTTTCTCCCTTCCCCCTCCTTCCCCTTCTGCTGCTGAATCAGCCTCAAAGTGCTGGCTCAGGAGGCAGGGTCTCCTCCTACTTGTAAAAGTTGCTGCGCCTCTAAGAAATGCACCAACTTCCCCTGGAAGCACGTAGGTCTGGATTTCCTATCATTTGCATAGGGGTGTGGCCAAAGGGTACCTGAAGTGAGAATTCCGATCCTGTTATGAGGCGTGGCTCGGAGACTGTCCATTCAGGTTCTGTTTATCTACATAAGGGGTGGAGTAGAAAGGTGGACATTTGCATAGGGGCAGGCTGAAAGGTACAGCAGTGTGCTCATCTGCATAAAAGGTGTGGCCAGGGTTCACCACCCCCACCATCGGCCTGGGGGCGGGGTCCGCTCCCTCACCCCTGACGCCCCTCCCCTCCTTTCCCCAAGTACTACATGTCCGCCCGCCACATGGCGCTGGCCAAGGCCTTTCCAGATTACTTCACCTACGAGCCCAACCAGGCGGATGCGGTGAGTGGACTCCAGATCTCAGCTGGGCCAGGAGCTAAAGGGCTGGGGTGGGCTGGGGTGGGGGTCCCTGCTGGAAGGCGAAGGCCTCGAGGCGGCTGGGCGCCAGGGCAGGGCTGTAAGGGTCTCTGCTCACCTTGTGGTTTGTGTCCACACCCCCGTATGCAGACCCAGGGCTACCGCTACCCACGGCCGGCCTCGGTGCCACCGTCGCCCTCGCTGTCACGACACTCCAGCCCGCACGAGAGCGAGGATGACGAGGAGCCCCGCAACGGGCTGCCGGAGGAAGAGCGCTACGATGAGGATGAGGAGGCTGCCAAGGACCGGCGCAACATCCGCGCCCCCGAGTGGCCGCGCCGTGCCTCCTGTGCCTCTTCCAACAGCGGGAGCAAGCGCAACTCGGTGGACACTGCGCCCTCCAGCTCGCTCAGCACCCCCAGCGACCCCCTCAGCCCTGCCAGCTCCCTGGGCGAGGAGCGCAACTAAGTCCTCCGCCCCACACTCCTAGCCTTTCGTGCCTCCCGCCAGAGGGTGGGTACAGAAAGGCTGTTCCCAAGCTCCACTCCAGATCCTGAGTGGAAGCCACACTCGGTGTCGCCCACGGCCCCACCCAGTCTGCCATACACTCCAGCCCTCCAGCTCCGCTCTTGGAGTCCCCACACTCCAGAATCCACAACGCTGTGCCTTTCTCTGGTCCAGAATGTATATTCTGTGCCCTGGAGTCCCCCAGGCCTGGACTGCATCCCGGAAGCCAGCAATCTGCCATTACTCTGCAGTGGTGCCTGAGGTTTTAGGAAACCTGGCCGGGTGCTTTCAGGCTAAGGCTCCTGCAGCCCTCTGTGGCTTGCAAATTCTGCAGCATATAAAGCACTTAGTGCTCAGGCCTGGCCTGGGGGCCACCAGGTGCTACAAACCATATGGTGTCCCTGCCAATGGGACAATCAAGTGCAGAGCCAGGGCACTTTCAGGGCCTTAAGATAACTGAATGCAGACGGTCCTCCATTTCAACTCCATAACTTGGGCTCCAGGATAGGCTCATGGCAGCCCTCCCTGGCTTGTCTGGCTCTGCCTGACGGACCCCTCCACCCGTCCTCCTGCCGTGCCCCACATTTTGGCCACACCAGGAGTGGCAGAACCACTTGGCTGCTCTTCCCTTCTGGAGAACATGCAAGTCTTGGTGTAGACACCTTTCTGGCCTTTTCTGGACCAGACCCTCCTCCTCCTTCCCTGAGTCTGAGCTCTCCTCCATATCTTGAGAGACTCCTTCTGTGCCCTCCAGGAAATCCTACTGGGGACAGAACTGGCTGTCCACCCCCACCCCTACTCTCCCCAACCGCCCAGCCCACTGTGAAACCACTAGGCTCTAGGTCTCGGCTACTGAACCTGGAACCTTACCACTTTGCTGCATACTGGTCCCTTTCTCCTGATCCCACTGGGTTCACGTGTACCTCGAGGCTCTTCCATCGCCAAGCTGTGCTCTGCCCCCAGCTTCTGTGAAAGAGAGGGGCCCCCTCGTGTGTGCTGTGCTGTCTGGTGCACTGCTTGGTTTGCAGTTGGGAAGGGGAGGCCAGAAGGGGTGTGATTGGAGTGTGTCCAGAGATGAAAAAAATACATCTATATTTAAGAATCCTAGGTGTGGTCAGACATGAGCACTTGCGGGGCCTTGTTCCCGACCCCTCCAACCCTGCCCACTCCCTGGTCCCTTTGCTCATCCTGCTATTCTGGCGAGGCTGCATTGCTGTTCTGAAATCCCAGTGTTCACATAAGATACCTCAACTTTAGGCCAGGTGCAGTGGCTCACGCCTGTAATCCTAGCACTCTGGGAGGCCAAGGCAGGAGGACTGCTTGAGGTCAGGAGTTCGAAACCAGCAAGAGCAAGACCCCCATCTCTACTATAAATAGAAAGAAATTAATTGGCCAACTAATATATATAGAAAAAGTTAGCCGGGCATGGTGGTGCATGCCTGTAGTCCCAGCTACTCGGGAGGCTGAGGCAGCAGGATTGCTTGAGCCCAGGAGATTGAGGTTGCTGTGAGCTAGGCTGACGCCAGGGCACTCACTCTAGCCTGGGCAACAAAGCAAGACTCTGTCTCAAAAACAAAAAAAACCCCTCAACTTGGCTCACATGATCTTTGGCATGAAGGAGCTACGTGACTAGGATGATCTATAGGACAGCTACATACAAGCGTTCAGTGGCCACAGATGGTTCATAGCTACCCTACTGGACATAGATGGACAGCACCAGTTTAAGGCATGTGTCCAGGATTCTGTGGTCTCCGTCTCTGTCCTCTGAATGGCTCTTTTAGGAAAAATCGTTATCCATTTAGTTCAAATCTTCACTGGGCTGTATGTGCAACTCTGAACCAGTAACTACTCAGGGAAATAGAAAGCTCTGAATTGTTTGGATTTGGGGGTGTGATTAATCTTTCCTGTTGGCCACTGTGTGACACAGACCACCCTCTCCCTGCCCCCAAATTGTGAGTAGCCATCAAAGTGTGATGAGAGGAAGGGCACAGTGCTGAGGTGACAAAAGAATCATATTCAGCCCCTACTTAGATTCCTCTTCTACTGGAAGGCGGAGGGGGTCAGAACTGACTCCTATTTTATAGTTTGGACCCAGCAGATGCCTAAGGCCTTTTTTAAGATTCTTCAGTGCCCATTTGGAGCATTTGGCCCTAAATTTCATGTGATAATTCCTCACAGTGTACGCTGTGTGTCCTGCATAGGGACTGCCATACAGGCCATGATCTCTGAACTAAAGGTGTAGCCTTTGGAGCAGGTTGGACCCAAGTATGTGCCTTCTATTTGCCAACCAAATTGCATAGTAATAGCCTCCATTTGCCCATATAAAGGGGCTAATAATTCTACTTGCCTCCCAGAATTGAGGCAGAGACAGTACTTCCGGAGCTTGGCACAATGCCTGGCCCTGTACTCCTTAAACAGGACTGTTTCTGGTTACTGAAATCTAATAGTATCTGCTTCTAGCTGCCAACCCCAGGTTTTACTAAATTCAACTCCCTGGAGTCTGACTCTACCATGTGGGGAGGTCAGTTAACAGCCAGCAAACAGAGAACCCTCAACTTCACACCCTACAGGTAGGATCTTGCCTTATAACCGGTAAGAAAATGGGAGATGGGGGCATCTCCTCTTTCTCTGCTATCCCAGCTCACCCAGAATTCTTGTGAAAATAGATTGCACCTCACTTTCCACACCACATACAAAATCACCAACCAGATGCTGCAAAAAGCTTTATTTCCATTTGGTCCAAGGCTTGGAAGAGGACTCCAGGGTGGTTAAAAAGCTGCCTAGTGGCTGGAGGGAGAAGCTCAGGCAGAAGCCTTGATACTTTGAGAGGGGCTCTTCAGTGGTTGCTGGGCTTGGCAACCTCCTAGTCGTGCTTGAGAGTGAGCCTTTCAAAGAGATACTCGCCCAGCCCAGCCTGGGGGCCGGCCAGCCTGCGGAGGTTGGTCAGGTGGTCGCCCATCTTCTTGATGAGTTTCACTTCCTCATCTAGGAAGTGATTCTCCAGGAAGTCACAGAGCTGAGAGAGAGAGAAGAGAAATTAGAAATCCAGACTTTGGAAAAGAGAGGCAAAGCTGCCACTTATAACTATGTGACAGATGAGTAGAAAGGCTCAGATGGGTAGCCATGGATGAAGTGAGTACTTACATGGGGGTCCGTGCGGGTAGAACCCAGAGCATGAAGATCCAGAAGAGCCTGGTTCAGGCTCTTCTCCAGGGCCATGGCGGCTTGCATTGCGTCCTGGGTGGTACCCCACTCATCTTGAGATGGCTTCTATACACAAGATAAAAAAGCTCGGAACACAAGCCCTCCAAAGGACTAAAATGTCATTTCCCAGCAATGGTCGGGGGATCAGGGTTAGTGCGTGAGCTTATGCTTACCACTGCCCCTCTGCCCCCAATTCCCTGTCTCCTACAACCACACGTTCCAGGACAACAAGCAGCGGTCTGGACAGCCTCAAGCTAGGAGCAGTACTTGCGCCTCCATTTCCAGCCATAATAACCTGCACACGACCGAACTCGATCTCCCAGAAGCCTAGGCGACACCTAAGCGGCTTAGGAGAAGGCACTTCGCGCGCACGGCCTGCTGGGATGTGTAGTCCGCTACCCTCACGCTATTGACCTGCACGTCCTGGAAGAGAGCGCGCCCGCCACGCTGGTTTTGCATCTTCAAGAGACGCTCGGCACCCTCGCGCTTCTCATCAGCCAATTCGCGGAAAAAGTGGCCCACGCCTTCCAGAGCCACATCGTCGCGATCGAAATAGTAGCCCTGCGGGAACCGACGGAGAGAACAATGGTTAGCGGGAGGCTAGGCCAGGCGTGCGGACTCCGCCCTGATCCTCGGCTGGACAAAGAAAGCCGCGCCTGCGCAGAGGGCCGGAGCTGCGCAACAGGGGGATCTTGGGCCTCGGGCGTCCTAGGGACTCACCAGAGAGAGGTAGGTGTAGGAGGCCCGCAGATGCAAATTGACCAAGCGGTTGACGGCTGCCTCCACCTCGGTGGAATAATTCTGACGAATTTGGGAGCTCATGGTTGCTCGGCAGTAAGACGCTAACCACAAAAAGAGGTGTTAGCTGGCTCCAGCAGCAGGAGATGGCAGAGAGAGGTCCGGAGATCTTGGTCCCGGAGATTGCAAGTGGAGAGGCGATCAGAAAGCAGTCGGAGGCTGGAAAAAAGGGAGTCCTCGGGTCTGTTCCGTCCAAACACTGTTGAAGCAAGAGACAGAGCCACGAGACCACCCAACCCTCTGCGAGCGGTGAAACTGCGGCGGCTGCTTTTATAGTGCGCTGACCCTCTGGGGCGGGGCGTTCTGGACGAGCGGTCGGCCAATCAGCGGTGGGGGGAGGCGAGGCCCGAAGGCTGTGTCTGACCAATCCCGGGCAGATACGAGTCTCAGCCCCCCTACCCCAAAGTGGGGAAGTCACGCGCCTGGAGCTCGAGGCTGTTACGAAATGTGGAATGGGGCTCCTGGGCCGATGGTGGAAAGTCCAGGGTTTGGGGTGGGGGGGATTCTCTCTAGGAGGTGAGAAATTTATGGGACCACTGAGAACCCTGGGAAGTGATGACCCTGGGGACTGGGGATGTCTCAGGAAAGTAAGATTATAGGGTTGTAAATTCTGAGAGCATGGATTTTTCTGGAGCCTTGGATGTGTGTTGGGGGCGTGGGGGGTATCTCAGAGATGTGGAGAGGACCTCCAGTTGCCTGGGGTTTGCTCTGCGAGATGTCTCTGGATCATTGTTAAGTTTGGAAGACTGTGAGATGGTATTTCTGGAACCCTGGGGATCTCTTTGGGGGATTAGGGGAAGGGAGACTGGAGCCCTGGGGTTTACACAGATGTGAGATTTTATGATTGGGAATCCGTATTTTTCTGGAGCCCTCCCCTGGGAGATCGTTAGGCCCTTGAGGTGATCTGCAAGATGGAAAAGGTAGTTTTGAGCCTTGGGGTTCATGGAGGGCATTGTTTTTGGAAATTTAGTAGGGACATTTTAAGAGGTAGGGCAGCTGGTAGAACCCTGGACAGCCCTTTGAAGTCTCAAGAGATTGGCTGGGCCTTTGGGAATACGTTGGAGCTCTTTGAGGGGGCTCAGTATTTTTCTGGGAGCAGAGATGAGGAGGAATGAAATGATTTATCTAGAGCTTTGAGGTCTCTTTCTGGGACTGCATTTCCTGGGGCCTGTTTAGAGTTAGGAGGCAACTGAAGAGACGCTGGAGAACGGTTCCCTTCCCAAAACGAAAGAAAGAAAGAGACTCTGGGAATTCTTCTTGCCTTCAAGCTCCCAAAGTGAAGCTCTGGGTTGTGGAAAAGAAGTAGAGTCTGGGGACCTAGGGATGGGGTGTGTGTTCTTCAATCAATGTGCATTTTTAAAGTGTGCCAGGTCCATGTTGACGTCTGGGAGACAGAGCTGGCTCAAGTCAGGACCCGGCCCTCAAGGAGCCACAGTCATGGAATGGAAGGAAGGAAGAACCAACAATGACAGAATCTTGACTCTACTTAAGTGCCCAGATGGCGGCAGCTCACTTGCTTGGGGGGAGCCGAAGCCACTGGGGCTGGGGCAAGAGGTGAAGGCCTGCGGCAGAGGATCCTCTCCAAGCAGCCCAGGTCAGCTGGCCCCTGACCAAAGGGATCTGCAGCAGGGGCCAGGCTGGCATTTGGGGTCCTTGAGGGGCCTCTGAGCTGGCCACCAGCGCAGCAGCTGTGCTGAGTCATGCTGAGCTCAGCGCAGGAAGGGGCTCCGGAGGGGTGGGGGTGGGGCAGCGCGCTGACCTCATCCCCTCCGGCCGCTCAGACTCCTTAGGGTGGAGTCATCACTGCTCAGACTCCTTTTGGCGGGGACCCTCGGCACCAGGCCTGGCTAAGACCCAAGTTGGCCCCCTCAAGCAAGGCGCCGCCTTTTTGGGAACCCAGCTGTGTGCTTTGTCTCTCTGGTCTTACCCTCTTTTTAGTTCCTGTTTTCCCTGAGATCCTGCTGGTGGCCATACTGTGCCCTTTTTGGGTGGTGGCTCAGTCTCCCCTCATTGCCTTTCTGCTCTTGTATCTCCCCTGACTTGGCATCTCTGGGGAGTTCACGGGGGAGGGGCAGCTGCCTGGGGCACCCAGGTGACCGTGGGGCCCTAGTTACTCATTCACCAAATTTCATACCTCAGCCTTAAAGACCTTTAGCCCCCAGCGGGCCCCACCTGTGGAGAGGGGACTTGGAAGGGCCCACAGGTGGCAGGACAGAGGAGGGGCTGAGATAAAGATGAGCTGTGGTGGCTCATGCCCAGGTCAGGAGTTCGAGACCAGCCTGAGCAAGAGCAAGACCCTGTCTTTACTAAAAATAGAAATTATCTGGACAACTAAAAATATATATAGAAAAAATTAGGCAGGCAACTCTCCTTGAGTGATGTCATTTTCTATGCTTTTCTCTTCTCTCTCTCTCCATCTGTGTCTACACAGGGGCCTCTCTCTGGGCTCAGCATGTTCCCCAGGCCTGCTCCTCTGGGGAGGGCCCCACCCAGCTATTGGGCCAGCTCCTCCCCCTAGCCTGTGAGTGGCCAGCCAGGTCCCTTCCTCTATGACCACTCCCCCAACCCTGCCCCCAGGCCTGGGCCTCTACACTGGAGCCTCTGCCCACCCTCCTCAGCCTCCAAACCTCCAGTGATGTCCTCACTCTGCTCCAGAGGCCTTGCCCCCCAATCCTGCCACCCTGTCCCTCTCTGCCACCCTACAGCCCGGTACACATGCTGCTTCTTGTGGTCCCATAGGCACCAGCTTCCAGGCCCTGGTCCCCTTGGCCAGGCCTGCTCTGCAGCCTGCTGGCCATGTGCTTTCCCACATACCTCCACCCACCTCAGGCTTCCTCAGACCTTGCTCAGTGCTGCCTGACTTGGCCCACAATCACCCTAGGCTGCGACAGATGTGACAGCCAGTCAGCATCCCTGCCCCACGGAGGCAGGACTGGGACTAACTCATCACTAACACGAACAGCACTGGGCACCCTCAGGAAAAGTTGTCGAGGGAGTGGGCAGAGCTTCAAGTCCCCGTGCAGCCGCCTCATGGGTGACCAGACAGTGGCCTGGCGCAGGGGGGGTGGGCAGGCCAGGTCACCACAGGACAGCCGGGCCCAGTGACTCCAACTCTTGAAGTGTGGCCCGAAGGAGATTTATTGCCCCCTTCAAGACCACTCTTCCCACCCACCCCCAATAATTACAAAAGTAAGAAAAATGCCCATGTCCCCCAATCCCACCCCTCCCAGAAAAATGCCATAATTTATGCAGAAAAAACACAGTCCAAGGCAGCGGGGGGCCTCATCCCATCTTCTTCCAGATAGTGAGCGAGGCGGTGAGCACTCCGGCCACGAAGATGGTCACTGTTTGCCACGTCGGGGTTCCAAAGTAGGAGAGAAGGCCGTCCTGGGGACAGGGACATTAGTCACTTCAGCAACTTGGCCAGCCCCTGGGTCAGCCCGCAAGGGATCAGGGAGGCAGAGGTCAGAGGGCAGGAGTTGGGACAAGGGCCTAAGATGAATGGGTACTAAAGAGTTGAGGTCAATGAACTTGAGGGATAGAGGAAGTGGAGGCACCAGGAAGGGCACAAGGCACTAATCAAGTCTGGGGACACAGGAAGGTCAGAGGTCACCAGGAGGCCAGCAGATACTACATGAATCTAGATGACGGGACAAGTAAGGAAACACATTACAGGCCACAGCTGATGATCTGAAAATTGGGGAGGGGGCACCTCTGTGGTGCCGGAAGGCCCAGTGGGGTCCCAGGTGGGGTGGGGGTGGATCACGGGGTCTCACCCAACCACCCTGGTCTTGGATCCAGCCCAGCAGCCGCTCTCGGAGGAAGTCCATTGTCCAGCCCATAATGGTTCTGATCAGCTCGGGCACCTTGGTGCACAGGGCCTACAAGGAGCAGGGTGGGCGTAAGAGACAGCCTTGTCCCCACTGCCTGCAGACAATGACCCCAAGCCTTTTCTCTCTGTTCTTTGCCTTAATTAGCAGTTTCTTTTCCAGCCCCAATGGAAGTCAGCTTCAGAAACTGTAAACTAGATCACATCACTGTCAACTGCCCTGCTCAGGAGCCCTCTGTGGCTCCCAGTGTCCCCAGGATAAAGACCTAGAGGCACAGCACAGCCCACAAGGCCCTGCGTGAACGCTGTGACTTGACCTCATTCTACCCTTCAGGGCCTTGTTGACCTTCTGTTTTCTTACTCCCACCAAACTCTTCCCTGCCAGCAGGACCCGTGTAGACGCTGATCCTTCGGTCCTGACAGTCCTCAACCAAGCAAAGTCTCACTCACCTCACAAAGCTCAGGCCAAACGTCACTGCCCGGGAGTGGGGTTTCTAGCCCAGATAGACCACCCTGAGCCTGGACCCATGAGGTGCTCTCCCAACACCCAGAGCGTCCCCTCCTAGCAGTGAGTGGCTGCTGCTTCTCCCCTAGTGTCCCCCACTCTGTGTGCAGCGCCACTGTCACCCTGTGTCCCTCACATCCCGCATTCAAGCCCCATAGGCTCAATCTTGAAATCACATCACTAAATAGCCGCCCCCACCTCTGCTGTTACCTGCTGGGTCCAGGCCTGTCACCCTTCCCGGGGACTATTAAAGGCACCACCTCACCAGTATCCCTACTCTGCCCTTGCACCCCATAATCCCCCGTCTACTGCCGACAGCCAGGATAATTTGGACACCCCTCCCCCCAACATTGTATTGTAAGAATCTTCATAAAAAATGTTAAAAGAATGTTCAGTTAACAGCCACACAGCCCAAAACCTAGGTTCTACAGTTATTTTGCTATACAGACAGTCCCCGACTTCGGATGAATGATTTTGTGACTTTACCATGGATCTGTCAGGACATTAAATGCATTTTTGACTTACGATATTTTCACGTATGATGGGTTTATGGGGATGCGGCGCCATGGTAAGTCGAGGAGCATCTGTACTTGCTAGAATAATCGCTTCAATTTATAAATCAGGTCACTTTGTTCCCTTATTTAAAACCAGATCATCACTCCTGTCTAACTCAAAGTAAAGCTAAAGTCTTTACAACAGCCCAGAAGACCCCGCACGATCTGCTCCTGCACAACTCTGCCCCCACTTCCCGCCCCTCCCCTTGCTCACCATTCTGTCCCCACCTCGCTCCACACGCCAGGCTTGGTCCTACCCCAGGACGTGCTGTCCCCTCCCCGAGATCCCTCTTCTTCCTGATCATTACATTTCATTGCATCCTTCTTGTCCTTCCAACTTTGCCTTTAATGTCACCTGCTCTTAGAAGTCTTCCTGGCCACTGTGCCCAATCACATCAGCCTATTTCACTCGACGTGAGCTCTGCGAGAGCAGGGACCTAGCCTGTTTCGTTCAGTGCTGTTCCCCCTGGTGCTCAGTACCAGCTTGGCACATAGGAGGCCAAGGTGTGGCTGCAGAGGTGTGGCCCCTGGGGACCCGGAAGTCCAGACACTGGTCTCCTCCTTCAGAACGCAGATGTCCCAGCCCCACACAGCTCTCCTCCCCTAGGAACTAGGAGTCTGAGCCCCACCCAATAAATGTTTGTTGAATTATTACAGGCCCAATAAATGTTTGTTGAATGAATAAATGAAGGCACAGACACCCAGTCCACAGCTGTCTCTCTCCATTCCCTCTGTGGTCACGGGGCCACTGCAGGGCTTGATCCCACGGTCCCCAGGTCCTCACAGGTCTGAGGGGAGCACCCCTGGGCTCACTGCTGGCAGCTGCCCACCTTTAGCACCAGTTTGCTGGCGAAGTAGAAAAGGGCGACAACCCGGCCCCAGTTGAAGTTGCCGTCAGAAAACATATCAGCTGCCACTCGGAAAAAGACCTCACGGGGGGAGTTTGTGTCCACATCGGCAATCATTCTGCAAGAAAGGGGAGAACCGAGGCTGGGGGGAAGAGCATGCAGAGGGCTGCGATTCTGGCATGTACATACTATTAAACATAAGGAAACTGAGGCCCAAGCCTGCTATGAAAAGCAACAGCCCACATGGGACAAGAGAAGGGGACAAAACCAACAGTTAGTACTTGGAAGGTAGAAAAAACCACTCCTTGAAGGAGGGTTTCAAGATCCTGGGGGAAGGGAGGGCTGGGAGTCTAGAATGCTTGAGCTGAGAGGTGGGGCTCAGACTCCTAGTTCCTAGGGGAGGAGACCTGTGTGGGGCTTGGACGTCTGCGTTCTGAAGGAGGAGACCAGTGTCTGGACTTCCGGGTCCCCAGGGGCCACACCTCTGCAGCTCCATGTTACTGTCCAGTTCATCCCCGATGCGCTTGAGACACTCGCTCAGCTTCTTGGTGGATGCATCCTGGGGCGTCGGCTCCAGACCCAGCTCGGGTGCCTCCCCCCCCATTCGCCCTGCTCGATCCTGGATGAAACTAGAATGGGAATGGAGTGGGGGTGCAGAATCAGAATGGGGTGTAACTTCTCAAATCCGTCCCACAATAATCAGACCTCAAACTCACCCCTGAAGCAAAAGGGCCCCTGTCTTCATGATCTGCTCAGAGCTGGTGGGCCCTAGAGGAGAAAGGAAGGGAAGAGGTGCCTGGACTATTGGGTTCTAAGGGGTCAGGAGACTCTGGAGGCTTATGGTCCCTGAGGGAGGACAGAGCCGGGGGCTCTGGACTCCAGGGTCCCTGGTAAATAAAGTGCCTGTGGATCCAGGCAACTGAGTCCCTGATGGAGAAAGGCTAGGAGCCTGGGCCTGTTATCCTATATTCTTCCGGGAGAGGAGGCTAGGGGAACACTTAAAGCATCGAGACCCCTAGCCTGAGGGGGCAGAGAAGAGACCCGCCCCTCCCACCAGGGCCAGAGGCAGGAAGTGGAGCGGGCGACAAGCCCGGGCCTGCCCGGGGGCTTGGTTTCTGAGATCCCCAGGTTCTCCGGGGTCCCAGAGTGCCAGGCAGGCAGGAACCGGGGCGCGGACACCACAGAGCCGGGAACCTCCGAGGAAGGAGGTGGCTGGAGGCTGGCAGCGCCCGATCTGGGAGTTTCTGCCCCGGAGTGCTTGGAGATCGCACAGCCCCAGGCCGGCAGGAGGGATCCTGGGGCCGGCCGGCTACGGGGGCTTGCCCGCCTCCCGCCCGTTTGCCTCCCGCCTCACCCCCGCCTCTGGGCTGCTCCCCGGACCCGTCCATCACCGCTGCTCCCGCCGCCGCCGCCTCTCGCCGGCTCCGCGCGGGCGGCCGCAGCGCGCCCCCGGTCACGTGAGCGCCCCCTGAACGTGCGTCGCTCACGTGGCCGCCCCGCAAAATGGCCGCCCGGGCTGCTGCCCCGCAGGGCCGCGGGTCACGTGACCTTTCCTGGTCTGCTCCCTGGGGAGCCTTGGCCTCAGTCACGTGACTGCCCAATCGGCGCCTCCCTTTAAGTGCTGGCCACCTGTTCGGCTGCTGCTGTGACTTTCATTCATTCATTCATTCATTCAGTTACTCGTGCACAATTTTCAGAAATTGGGGCAGGATTTGAGCCCTCCCCAGCGCAGAAGGAGCAGCAAGTGCAAAGACTTAGAGGCCAAAATACCGTGCCCCCAGGCAGCACGTTTTAGATAACTGAAGCCTGTATGTGTGTGTATTTGACTGACAATAAAAGGAATATGAAACTTGAAAAATGGCAGAAACTAATCCGTGGTGATAGAACAGCAGGGTATGGACAGGGAGTAGCCTCTAGCGAGGTTCCTAGGGTGCCCCAAATATGCCATATCTTGATCTGAGTGGTGGTTGGAGGGGTATACACGTTTTAAAAATTCATCGAGCTGTATACGTAAGATTTGTGCACTTTATGTAAATTATTATATCTCACATTAAAAAGAAAATAATAGTAAGTAAAGGGAACTATGTAGGGGACTGACATTATATTTTCCTGGTTTAAGAATTAAATTTAGTAATATATGTGTTCTGCCCAGAGTGTTTAAAAGTACTGTGTGCTGGACAAGATCCCTGTGACAAACAAGGCTGTTGCCTAGAGGCATAACGAAGGACCTGAGCTGCAAGTAAGCATGAGCTGCCCAGCCCCATGGCAATGGGCGTCTGGAGGCCACACGATAAATACATTGTTCCTGTGATTGCTGCTTGAGCCCCATAAGATGGCTGGTTAGTCAATGATGGGTAAGATCCCTCAAGGGAGGGGTGACCTAAGCCAGCACAGCTGCCAGGAATCAGCCTAAGGTCTTAGGGTATCACCCTAAGAGAAACTGGGGATGAGAAATGCCCCCTGTGGCTGCCTTGCCCATTCTTGCTAATCTCAGTCCGTGATCTATGCCTGGTGCCTAGAGCAACCACCTGGAAACCTTGAGTCAGGGGACATCTGTATCCTTAAGGCTACGTGTTCCAGAATTTATGGCCATTGCTGAAAGGCATGGGTGGTTATGTATAAGGAACTGACTTTAATTTTGTAAAGTATAAAAATAAAACTGACCCGGTGTATTATTACTCAAGTCAACTGTCTTTGTATGTGCGTCTGTGTTTTCTTTTCTATTCTGTGTTCATCCTCCATCCTGTTAACGGGCCACGACAGAACTAAGATTAGAAAAGTGGGCTAGGGTCAGATGATGAAGGGTTTGGGCACATCAGAGAAGGGATTGATATAGGCTTCCAAGGGTAGCTGGGAGCCATGGGAAAGTTTTGAGCAGGCGAAGGGCAGAGTCAGACCTGAGTGTCAGGAAGATCTCTTGGATTGAGTCCTTTGTGGAAAGAACTCTCATAGCACCTAGGATTTATAATGCTTTTCTCACAACTATAATTAATTATGTGTGCAATGTTTTAGTTTGATGTTGGTCTTTTTTGTCTACGCAAAATTTCCATGAGGGTCAGGATTGTGTTAATTTATCCTGAATTCTTCCAGAAACTAGCACACTACATGATTCATCAGTTATGTGTAATTTAACAAATGCTGGCCGGGCATGGTGGCTCATACCTGTAATCCTAGCACTTTGGGAGGCCAAAGCAAGCAGATCGTTTGAGCTCAGGAGTTCAAAACCAGCCCAAGCAAGAGTGAGACCCTGTCTCTACTAAAAATAGGAAGACATTAATTGGCCAACTAAAAATATACAGAAAAAATGAGCTGGGCATGGTGGCGCATGCCTTAGTCCCAGCTACTCAGGGGCTGAGGCAGAAGGATTGCTTGAGCCCAGGAGTTTGAAGTTGCTGTGACCTAGGCTGATGCCATGGCACTCTAGCCCAGGCAACAGAGTGAGACTCTGTCTCAAAAAAAAAAAAAAAGCATCAGGCTGGGCGTGGTAGCTCACACCTATAATACCCAGCCCTTTGGACCAAGTGGAGAACGCTCAAGTCAGGAGTTTGAGTCCAATCCGGCAACATAGCAAGATCCCAGTCCTTAAGAAAAATGTAAAAGTTAGCCAGGCATGGTGTGTGCACCTATAGCCAGCTACTGGGAGCTAAGACAATAGGATCATTCGGCCAGGAGTCTGAGGCTACAGTGACTATGAACACCATGCACTCCAGCCAGGGCACAGAGTGATGAACCTGGTAAGGCATGATGCTGTGGGTAGCACAGAGAACTCGAAAACTCAGAGAAGTCCTGCCCAACTGAAAAATCGGTTTGCTTGAAACTGAGAAAGAGGACAGGCAGTAGTATGTCACGAATCTTCTTCCTCCCTGCCCTGACATGGCCTCATCTGGCCGTAGCATGAATGAGGCCTCCCATGTTTCCCCTCACCCTCAGTGCCCTATACGCCACCATAGAGAAGGGCATGCCTCAGGTCGTGCCGCCTTCAGCCTGAGTCCCTGAATAAAAGGTACTAGAACAGACTGAGCCAAAATGTATAGTCAGCAGGTAAATTTATTGAGAACCTATATGTGCAAGGGGTGTTCGTATGCCATCTGCAGGGTCTAAATGCACTGTGTCCTCCAAATTCATGTGTGAAACTAACACAGGTGATGGCATTTTTTTTTTTTGAGACAGAGTCTCTCTCTGTTGCCCAGGCTAGATGAGTGCCGTGCACTCACCCTAGCTCCACAGCAACCTCAAACTCCTGGGCTCAGCAATCCTCCTGCCTCAGCTCCAGTAGCTGGGACTACAGGCACGACCACCATGCCCGGCTAATTTTTTGCTGATAAGTAACATTACGTTTGGGCACAATTAAATTTTCTTCTATTTTTATAGTAGAGATAGACGGGTCTTGCTCCTTGCTCAGGGTGGTTTGGAATCCTGACCTTGAGCAATCTGCCCTGCCTAGCTCCCCAAGACCATGCTGAAGTATACGCGCGCTTGATTGAAAGGCGTGAGCGCACCGCTGCCAGCTCAGTGATGGTATTAAGAGGTGGGACCTTTGGGAGGTGATTAGGTCATATAGGTGGAGCCCTCATGAATGGAATCTGTGCATGTATTGGTTTTTTTGAGACAGCTCTGTGGCCCAGGCTAGGGTGCAGTGGCATCATCATATAGCTCACAGCAACCTCAAATTTCTGGACTCAAATGATCCTCCCGCCTCAGCCTCCCAAAGTGCTAGGATTACAGGTGTGAGCCACCGCGCCCAGTCAGGTCCATGCACTTATAAAAGATGCTTGAGGGACCCTCTGCTTCTTCTGCCATGTGCAGATGCAGCAACAAGGAGCCATCTTTGAAGCAAAGAGTGAGCCCTCATCGGACACCGAATTTGCTGGTGCTTTGATCATGGACTTCCCAGCCTCCAGTACTGTGAGCAACAAATGCGTGCTATTTATATCAATAAATTATCCAGTCTACAGTATTTTGTTACAGTGGCCCGAATGGACTAAGACACCGTGCCATTTAATCCTCACCAGAGGGTAGTTACTACTAGTCTCTCTCCTTCATTGATGATCAGACAAAGGCAGAGAGGCTGGGAGAGTGTAGTCAGGGACACCTCCTACCTACACATTATTGTCTTCTGAACGTCACATGCGCCATTTGGCTCCAGTGCTCAGACCTCCATTTAACCAGTGTCTGAGTCCTTCACTGAAACAAATGCCAGGGAACGTGAGAGATGGAGAAAGACAGAGCCCTGGCCTGACACCAGGCTTCCCCTGAAGGCTTTAGTTACCATGCATCCTATTTCTGTGCAGGCCACTTGGAGTTGCATTTCTGACACTTTCCTAAGGAAAAGCCTGACCATTAGAATTGAACTTGAGGAGAGGCAGTTACAGGCAGAGCAACAAGCAACAAGAACGAAAGCTGGGTGGCTTTCAGGAACTGAGAAAGAGCATGATTTCTGAGGTAAGAAATCAGGCTGTTTTGCAAAAAATCACACCAAGGCAATGAGGGTCAAACCCCAGAGAAGCCATAACAGGGAATGTGGATCTGCTCCTACGTGTCTGCCCCAGGAGCTTATGGGAAATGTGGTCCTGACAGCACCTTCCCCCACCCCATCATTCTACCCAAATTATTTTTTACTTTTTTTTTCTTTTTTTACTTTTATTATCTTATTTAATTAATTAATTAATCTATTTATTTATTTATTTTTGAGACAGAGTCTCACTCTGTTGCCCAGGCTAGAGTGCCGTGGCATCAACCTAGCTCACAGCAACCTCAAACTCTTGAGCTCAAGCGATCATCCTGCCTCAGCATCCTGAGTAGCTAGGATTACAGGCATGCATGACCATGGCTGGCTAATTTTTTGTATATATTCTTAGTTGGCAAATTAATTTCTTTCTATTTTTAGTAGAGTCAGGGTCTTGCTCCTGCTCAGGCTGGTTTCGAACTCCTCACCTTGAGCGTTCCGCCTGCCTCAGCCTCCCAGAGTGCTAGGATTACAGGCATGCCACCATGCCTGGCCTACCTTTATTTTTTAAAATTGAGATGGAGTCTTGCTATGTTGCCCAGGCTGGTCTCAAACTCCTGGGCTCAAGTGATCCTTCTGCCTCAGCCTCCCAAGTAGCTGGGGCTATAGGCCCACAACACTGTACCAGGCCCAGATTGTTTTCCAGTGACCCTTTTTTTTTTTTTTGAGACCGACTCTCACTTTGTTGCCCAGGCTAGAGTGAGTGCCGTGGCATCAGCCTAGCTCCCAGCAACCTCAATCTCCTGGGCTCAAGCGATCCTCCTGCCTCAGCCCCCTGAGTAGCTGGGACTACAGGCATGTGCCACCGTGCCCGGCTAATTTTTGTATATATATTTTAGTTGGCAATTAATTCTTTGTATTTTTGGTAGAGACAGGGTCGCTCAGGCTGGTTTCGAACTCCTGACCTTGAGCAATCCACCTGCCCCCGCCTCCCAGAGTGCAGGATTACA